ATATATTTATTTTTCCATCTCACGGTATTGAGCCAAGCAACCGCCGCGATTTGAGCAACGCAACCGACCCCGCCGTGACCGTGACGGTTGCTAGAGTACAAGTAGCTACAGTAACGGCTTCGGAGCAGTGTAGCTTTTCCCAATGCCTCGGGTGGACAACGGTGGAGTTCATTGCACAGCCAGCGAAGCAGTCCTCAAAACACTCGTCCGTCCAAAGCTGAAGGCCTGATAAGTCCAATGCCCAATTTCCTCGTCAGGAAGCTCGATCTTTCCACTGCTCTTTCAGCTGCCGACCCAGGAAGCTTGCCAGAAATCCCCGACATTGAATCGGTGCTAAGCAAAGCCTTCACCGGTGGTAGGTCCGAGTCTGCATTCAGCATCTCTCAGGCTCATACTCCCCAGATCCTTTCACCGCAGTTGTAACCGCGCACGACCCCAACGGAACGGACACCAGCTACATCGGTCCCTTTTGGATTTCCACTGTGGTTGCGGGGTTGCTGGGCGGCGAGGTGTACGTTGCTGAGACCAATGACGCCGAAAGGAAGATTGTCGGATGCGCGGTCTGGTTTAGCCCAGGACATAGCATGTACGACACGTATGTGCTCTTCCCCCAGATTTATCCCCTCTCGCTCGTCCTCATCAGATATTCCAGGGAGCCCCAACTGCAACACGCACTCGGACCGCTTATGGCCTCATTCGACGAACGGCTTCAAACCTGGTGGCATGACGTGGTACGTCATTCAACCGATTAACTGGGTTAGCTCTGTTTACACGCATAGCAGTTCTTTCCTCAGTACGATAGGTTCGTGATCTCCGCTTTGGGCGCGGGCGTGAAACACGACTCGTGGCACCTTCAAACCCTGGCGGTCGACCCTCAGTATCAGCGTAGGGGGGCAGCAACCCTTCTTGTAAACACGGTGGTTGAAAAAGCAAGCCTCTCTGGACAGAAGCTGTGCGTCGAGGTGCAAAAAGCGGTCAACGTAAGACGATCGCTTCCATCGCTTTTGTTGTACATAAACTGAGAGCTGTCTCCACTAGATTGAGGTTTATTCAAGGCTTGGGTTCAAGATTATGCCGGAGGGGAAGGGAGAGAAGGAGTCCTGTGATCAGTTTACCGGTGTCGAGGGCAAGAGCTTCTCCCTGTGGGTTATGGCTCGAGGGTCCAACTGAGGGACACCGTGTTGTGCACATTCATGAGGACCTCGTCGAGGGTGCCGATGTTCCACATAGGCGATGCCCCGTCTATCGAAGTACATGAGGGTTCAATGAATAACATAAGATGTGTTATAGAATCTCCCGGACCGACTCATTTGGATCTTGACTTGGTTAGTTGCCGCGGGGATGTGAGAGGTCCTCGCCAGACAGACAGACAGGACGCATAATGCAACTGCAAAATCGCGTGTGTTCGCCCGCATTTGCGCAATCCAAGGGAAGCGTGGTGGTGGTGGTGACGGTGAAAGAGACGCTGGGGATTGGCCGGATTCCAACATCATACTAATGCCCTCCGGGCAGACCTGGATCCTCCGGTCCGTGTGATTGACTGTGGCAGGATTTGGTACGGATTTTGGACTAAATCCAATGACTTCCGATTCCGTCTGGACTGTGGCCTTTCGTGCCGGTGGCTCGTCGCCTCCGGCCCAACTGCGACTTTTTCTTATAACTAGCGAGTTTCGTTAACGTTGTGGCGTCTGTCCGAATAGTATTTTTTCGCCTCGGGCATGTGGTTTTGTGGCATTTTAGGTGTTAATGGTCTGTAATGCTCAACAGATTTCCGTGACCTTCATAAAGTACTGTATGAAGCTCGAGCCCAAAAAAATTAGTTTGTGAATTTCTGGGTCAAATATGACTACGTCCATGGGCTCGGCGAGGTGCAGCAGTGGGCCATCCAACGGAAGCGGAGGGCTGAGGTGGGGCACTGATACACCTTAGCATATGGCCAGATGCAATCCCTGACCGATATCCTCGGGTACATCTTCTACGGTGGAGCGGGGCATGATGGAGCAGGAGGCAAGAATAACAAACAGAGGCAAAGAGGGCGTGGGAGTAAAGGTGCTGATCGGTGAGGACAGGTGAGGACAGACCATTCCTGAAATTAGACCTGGATACCTCCGGATCCAGGAACTCCTTCAATGCCGGGCGGCTGAATATTTTCCCTCCATCACGGCTTGGAAGTAAACTACCATGTCCTCTCGCTCCCGCCGAGTCGTGTCGTTCATTGCAATCGTCACCGGGCTAGCTGCCCTTTCCAGTGTTTACTTCCTGGCAAGCTCATCTCTGCATAAATCGGGAATCTGGTCCCAAAGCTACTGTGGGTTGCCTACGCTTCCTCTGCCCAGCGCTGACTACTCCCCTCTCTTGTAGCGTGCATTGGCGATGACTATCCGGAGCTGTGGGAGATCTCTTCTCACAGTTGGAATGGCGGTGGAAGGAACCCGATCGTATCCAATCGACGGCGGGCACAATGCACTCGAGATGTGGGCCACGACGTCGTCGAAGGGCCTGGGCTATGTTTGGCTAGGATCTGAGCACAGAGCCTTCGCCATTTCCATGTTCCATCAGCTGCACTGTGTCCGGCTCGTGCATGGTGAGCGGTTGAGCTAGCCAGCCGTGTCTTCGATTATTCCACAGAGCCCTGGCGAGCCCAAGTGGTGATGTTAAGTAGCCCGGGCTTTGAAGTTCGGAGCATAAAAGAAATTGAGGACGCAGCAACGGCCGAGTGGCAGATCGAGCCAGTTAAAAGAAGGATAAGATGGAAAGAGAAGGGGGAAATGATCACGATGGGCCCGTTTAAGATGTGAATTGCGGGCACAGTCCAAACATTGGGACTATAAGGCGATATTTTCTGAATTAAACCGAGGCTGTGCGGTGAGGCGCAGTTGATTTCATACCGGCTGTGGGCAGCTGTGGCTCCTTTGACGTCGTCGATGAAGCCAGGAGAGAGTTAAGAGGAAGGGAATGAGCTGGATGGGGACTTAGCCAAAGAGATGGAAATGAAAGCCGAGGACTTCGTGAAGAGAGCGAATAATGAGTTGGTGTCAATGACTGCGATAGATCCCACGTACCCGACATAATAGTCATTAAGATCGCCTTTCCCGTCCTGCCGCGCAGCCTTCATAGCCGTCTGCTGTGACGTCGACGGCCCGGCGTTCTTGAACCAGTCCGCGTTGACGGTGCGCGTGGTGCCCACGAGGGTTCATGCGATATTGCCGGCATAGTCATTGTTGAGGGCGCTGATCTGGTTGGCGATTTGGGAGTCTCTGAAGGGTGGATGGATTAGTTGGAATCCAGTGGAGAGGAGGGATGACGAACGGAATTTCCCCCCTGCGACGGTGGAATCTTTGCTGATGACGTGCCAATAGACTTAGAAAATCTCTGTGACCAAAGAAGCTAAAGGAAGGACGGAATAAATACGTACCTTGACCGCCACAATCGAGTTTTTTGCTGACTCGTTCCTGTTCTCGTCAAAGTGGCGTTTGGCGACGATGATGTCTGCGTCGTCGATGTGTGTTGCACATCTTCTGAAGATTGGTTAGAAGACTAGGTAAAATGAGATGAAGGGGAAACTAACCTGTCTCTGCCAATAGAAGGGCCGTCGAGGATGGGGTAAGCAGCAAGCAGGAAGGTGAGCGAAGTAGTGGTATTAAGCATTGAGTTGTTGGAGTAGCGAGATATGGGAATACGACTCATGGAAGGAACCTCTTTATATTATTCGGAGGCGGAGGCTTGTCTCATGGGCAATACAGGAGATTCAAGTCCAGTGTGCTCGAGACCGGAATCGTCCGGTCCAGAGTGTGGGGATAATTGAGTCGGAGGGAGCCCAGAATATGCCCGTCGCTATATAGGAAAGCCTATTACGCGGGTACAGCCGCAGACACTGTTCAACTTTTGAACCAAGGAGACTCGGAAGTTGTTCGACGGAAATGGACACGACGACAGCCTCGTGAAGCAGTGTTCTGTTGGACCGGATTCCGAGACCGAGAAGGCTTGGTCGTTAGGCTGGATCTCTTCATGCCTGCTAAATCTGGAGAGTCGGAGAAGATGCAGAAGAGCTGTTGATAGACCTTGGTGTGACGGGGAAAAAGCTGTCGGCAAAATCCGACCACAGTGATTCAGTGTCGGTGATGTCCGATTTCCGGGGGATCACGGCCCGTGGCACGTCACACACGGCTTCGCCCGAACCTCCAAAACGCTTTGCTGAGGAATCTCTCGACTCTCGATTTCAACCACGGCTAGTATTCTGACCGTGGCTCGCCAAATAATTCTTCACCCTGAATCGCCAGTGCTACGGTTGACGTTGAAGGAGTCTGTATTTAACGGACATACGTTACCGTGTAAGTACATACTACACATCGAGCGAGCTGGACTCGGGGTCGGGAGGCAGATTATGCGCGGGAAGGTTGCTGCTGGACGGCGCGTCGGCGATGCAAGGGCCGGCCTGTTGACTGCCAGTGTTTTGTCGCGCGGAGAGACGCGGCGCAGGGAGGGCTCGAGGACGGCTCGAGAACGACGCAGAAAGCTGAAAGCAGACAACAGATCTACGAAGTGGAAAATGATGACGCGAGCCGCTGATCGCCGGTCTCGGCGCCGATTGGCTCGCCAAGTCCGACTTCAACCTACGCCTAAGTAATTCTTCGAGAGCTGCAGTATTTATGCCATCCGTCCGGGCCTTCAGTTCCTTTCATTCCTTCAACTCCTTCCATATTATACCGACCTACTAGTATTTACTTCGAGTCGTTGAGATTAATGACCGAGTTAAGAGAAAGTCAAGACTCAAACGAAGGAAATGGAGGTCTAGTATGTATTCACCTCGTAGGATGATGTAAGAACGGCCTAGTGGTGTAGCGGTAACACCTTTGCACTACTTCCCCATGAAAGATGGTATTTGATGGAGTCCTTTGTTCGAATCAAGGTCAGGCCATTCAGGGTCAGAGCTATACTTTTTTTCCTTTTTCCCTTTTCTTTCAGCCATAAGTATTTCCCCCGGGGCAAGAGTTAAGTATGGCCTGGTGGGGTAGTGGGAACACCTCTGCTCTACTTAAAATGTCCAAGATGTTCTTGCAGGAGGGCCTTGTCCGAGTCAAGGCTGGGCCAGGGCCCAGAACACTCTCTCTTTGCTCTCCCTCTCTTTCAATTAGCTGTATTCCCCCGAGGGGGAAGTTAAACACGGCCTGGTGGTGTCGTGATTATATGCTTGCACTGCTTTAGATACTTAAATGTTGCTTCAGCAGGAGTCCCTTGTTCGATTCAAGGTCAGGCCATTTATGTTTGGTGCTGCACTTTTAATTTTATTCTTAGCTTTTCCCGAGAACACTTCCCCCGCTTTCCCTATATATATATTCCGTGTTTTTTGAGAGGACGGGTCATTTATCCGGGTTGAGGAAAGCACGGCTCGCGGGTAGAGTAAGCTGTCATGCATCATGATGATGAGGTTCGGAAGCGGAGTTTAGAAGTTCGAAGGTCGAGACACCGCGAGGCGCTGAGCACAGGCTCCTAGTGGTTCTGACTTCTGAGAGGGGTTCTTCGGAGATGGCGGTGCTCAACGACGCCCGAATTGATTTAATCGAACCAAAATTGTTCAGAACTTTGGGCAGCTAGATTGAGTCCGAACTCGCTGTGCTCCCTGCTGCGTCATGTGAAAAAAGAAATTCTACGACTCCCTATTGCAGTGCCGGCAGGCAATTATGCCTCAATTAAGTATGTTCTGCGTCGTTCTTGCGCACAGCATGCACCGCTATGAGTTTAACACCGCCCGCGCCGTGGCAGTGCGTGCCTTAGTCATCTTTCCTTATATAGCCACCCCGCCTTGTTTGTCTCTTCCCGACTCTCGACGCTACACTCTTCTCTTTCGCCACCTCACAACCCAACCCTCAACATGTCCTACGGTGGTGTACGCCCCCCCCTCCCTCCCTCGCTCTTAACGAAACCGAAAGCTAACGGCGATTGTCCACGATAGCACGGATACGGCGCACCCCCCGGCCCCCCAGGCTATGGCGCGCCCCCGCCGCCGCAGCAGATGTACGGCGCACCCCCGGGTGGGCCCCCGCCGCATGGTGCGTCCCCCTCCCCTCATATAATGACGAAATGAATGGCTGATGGATCGATGCGATAGGCGGGTACGGCGCGCCCCCGCCGCAGCAGTACGGTGGCGGCGGCGGCGGCGGCGGATACGGCGCGGGCGGGCACGCGGGCGGGTTCGCGCCGCCCCCTGCGCACGGGCCGCCGCCAGGTGCTGATCCCCAGTGCGTTTCCCCTCCCTTTGTCGCGGTGTCTTTGTCGTGTGCTGATGCGAGTGTGTGTGCACAGGCTATGGAACTGGTTCATGTCGGTCGACATGGACAGATCGGGCGCGATCACGGCGGAAGAGCTCAGTGTGTCTCCCTCCGCCCCCGCCCACCGTGGCGCCACGTCACGCAATGCTCACCGCTCATCGATATCTAGAGCAAGCGCTGGTCAACGGCGATTGGACTCGTGCGTCTCTCTCCTCCCTCCCTTCCCTCCCATCTGGATGCTTATTCCTCCCCGCAGCATTCGACCTCGACACCGTCAAGCTCCTCATGACCATCTTCGTGCGTCCACTATCCTTATCACTATCACGCAAGGCACCCAGCTGATGACGTCACACGTAGGACACGGACCGCAGCGGGACGATCGGCTTCAGCGAGTTCGCGGGCCTGTGGAAGTACATCAAGGACTGGCAGGGCGTCTTCCGCCACTTTGACCGCGACCGCTCGGGGACGATCGATTTGGACGAGGTGCGTTCCGTTTCTGTCGTTTTATGTATCGTGAGGGGCTTGTGGGTGTGTCATGTGAGGGGGGCGGGCGATCGTCTGCGGTGGGACGAGAAAGAGCCGGCGCCGGTGATGTGCTGGAAGCAGGCGGGAGAGCGTGCGCGCTCTCGTCTGCGACAGCGACCGGTTGCGCTGGGTGCGCGTTGCGTTGGTGGGCGCGCGCGCTTGCGTGGGTTAGCGCCGGGCGCTGGCATTGGGCTTTATTATTCGGGGAGCGTGGGCGGTGTGGGTTGGGGGCTGTGCAGCGTTCGTGATCCGTTGTCGCGCGCTCTCTCGCCTGGGTGGGCGTGCGCGTTTTCGTTGCGAGCGTTGGGCGTTAGCGGCTCGGCTCATCGGGGGCGGCAGTGAGAGGGGACGTGCGCCTGCGTGGACGCTTTCGCGGTGTGAGGTGGGCGCTCGCGAGTCGTCGGCGCGCGCTCTCTCGTCCAGGTGGGCGTGCACGTGCGCCAGTGCGGTGTAGGGCGGTGTGCGTTCCCGCTGTCATCGGCCGGAGCGTGGGTGCGTCCGCCTGCCCGTTGGCATCCGCGTTGCGCCCGTGTGATGGGTGTTGCGGGAGTGCGGATGTGGATGTGGGGTGGCGTTCGCGGTCGTGCGATCGCCTTTGCGGTTGTTGCGATCGCCTTTGCGGTTGTTGCAATCGCCTTTGCGGTTGTTGCGCTCCCGCGTTGGCTATCGGTCATCTCATATGCGTTGGCTGTTACGACTTCACGACAAGACGCTGACGATTTGCTTTATTCGCACAGCTCCAAAACGCGCTCAAGCAGTTTGGGTACAACCTGAGCCCGCACGTGCTGCAGCTGGTGCAGCGCAAGTATGGTGTGTTGTCTTTCTTGCCTTCTCTTCTCCCCCTCTGTCCTCCGTCCCTTCCTCATTTGCCTCTTTTATCTTATTTTATTTTATTTTGTATTTGCGCCGTGACGCTGGGCGCGCGTGGTCTCTTCCTGCGTCCTGCGTCTTTGTCTTTTCCCGCTCTCGTGCTCCCGCCCCCTTCCCCTCCCCTTTTCCTTTCCTTTCCTCCACCCTCCCCTTCCGTCAATTCACCGCTCATAGACATAAAAGCAACCGGTACCACGGGCCACCAAATGCCCACGCACGCGCCGCCCGGCGGGCCGGGCATCTCGTTCGACCGCTTCGTGCGTGCGTGCGTCGTGGTGAAGCAGCTGAGCGAGGCGTTTGGGCGGCTCGATGCGGACCGGGATGGGTGGATCCAGATTGGGTATGAGGGGTTTATGGAGACTGTTTTGGGGTTGCCGTGAGCGGGTTGCGCGCGTAGGGGGGTGCGAGCCTCAGCGTGGGTCCGCGTGCGGGAGGGAAACAGAGAGGAAGGGGAGGGGAGAAAGGTGTGAATTTCTTTGTTATGTTCTTCTCATTCCGTCTACCTATACCTATTGAACGAAACGAAACGAAAACGAGTCTTGTATGTACGATGTACGTGTACCTGATAGTATCGTATGTATGTAATCCGCAATCGAAAACGAGAAAAGACGAGTGTGATTGGTTTGATTTTCGTTTTCGTTTTTGTGTGATAGATGGATGGGGTGGATTTGGGAGTCGCAGGTGTAAGGGGTTCAGTGAAGTGTGTTTTGTGCTGGAACTGGAGCAGATCGCAGATCACCAACGGGCGCACGCAAAAAGACCTTCAGGCGTCGGTGCTCAGCTAATTTCCATGTCAAGGAAAAGCAAGGTGTCGGCTAGGAGGAGGTTGAAATTTTTAAAAGCTGAACACATCGAAATCCATCGTATCCTTGGGCGTCAGCGATGGTGAACCGTGGGATTGTACATCGAAGGATATGTATGGCTGAGGATTGTTTTGGGCTGAGAGCGAGGAAGGCCAAAAATAAAAATCCATCAGGGGAAATGGCCTAGCCTTGATTCGAACAAGGAACTCCTGCAGAGAAGGACTAGAGTGAATTATATCAAGCGGGCGCGTTACCATTACACCACCAGGCCATTGTCACAGGTTTCCGCGAAGTAACTGGATCGGGAAGGAAGGAAAGGAGGAAGGGACGACATAAAAGCAAGAAAAATTGTGAAGAGATTAATCATGGCCTAGCCTTCAGTCGAGCAAGGGTGTCCTGCAGGCCTCGTTTGTCGACACACCATATTAGGCAGGGGTGTTATTGGTAAACCACCAGGCCGTTGTCATCATCTCCCCCGGGGCGAGGGGGAAGGAAGGAAGGAAGAAAGAAAAAATATGTCAAGACGACTATAGCCTGGCCTTGAGTCGAACAAGGGTCTCCTGCGGAATCCGAACTCGCAAGCTTAGGAAAAGCAAGTATGTTACCAGTACACCACAAGGCCAGTGGCATCTCCTTCCATGAGGTGTATATGTCCTACCGATAGGACTGCTGCTCATGATCAGTCCAGATGCGGGCGAAATGCCGGGACTCGGGAGCATTTTATTTATTCCAAGACGGGATGAATCGATGTAGCTGTAAAATAAGGGCAAAGAGTGGGTATGCGGAGCTGCAGCGGGTAAGTGCAGCTGTCGCGAGTCGACGGCTAGGTGGTTGGGTTGGGTCGGCTGGGGGAGCCTTCGGCAATGACGGACGAGGTCGGCAATCACTGTATTTTGTCTTGCGTAAGCTTGCGTGCTTTTCCTCTTGTGCTTTCCTGCGTGCAGCGTTTGAAGTTTCCCTCGTTTCCCTCTGACTTCGTTCACAGGCGCTCTTATATCATCGCGCACCATCTTCCCAGTGCACGTACCCAGCTTGACCAGATCGATGACCTCAGGCTTGGAATTGGATCGACCGACGAGATCCCAGCGGACGCCCTGCAGGAAATCTTCTGAATAGTGACTCTTTTGTCGTTTTCCATGGGCCAGGCTTTGCGAATACACACGCGCAGTCCGTTTCAAACCCCTTCGGCCGCATTTTGGCTCCGCTCCAGATTTCCTCTCCACCGAACTCGGTAAGGGTAAGCGGATCTTGCCATGGCTTCCTGCATGTGGTCTTTCTCTCCAAACAGCTTCTCTGTGCGATGCTCATCACTGTAACTGGGGCCTCTCGTTGGTGGACACTAAATCTTGAACTTCAAATCGGCTGGACAGTGCAAGGATGGCGGCAGTGGCCATATTGCTCGTTCTGCGACGTTGTCGCGCTGTCAATTTCCCCCTGCAAGCCAGGAATTTTTGCACAGGAATTGCGGTAGAGTGCCACGAGCAGGTGCTAATCTCGCATGTCCCTCCAATAGTAGGTCTCTCGATGGAGACCTTGATGTCTAATCCACTTCACGCCACAACAACGTTCACCAGTAGGGAAATGAGTCCACCACCAATGGTCGACTACTAGTATCCCGGCGGCGCCTCCGCCAGCCCATGCGTCTGCATCTGCCCTTCGATGACCGTCACCCGCTCCGTCATCTCGTGCAACCGCTGCACTACCTCCGGGGTCCCGCCCCCCACCGTGGCGCGCTGTATCGATATGTCCAAATCCCCCTGCGATGGCGCGGCGTGGCGCGGCACGAGCAGCGCCTGCTGTGATGATGTACCGTGCGGAAAGACGGGACGGGGGAGCGAAGCCTTTGTCGGGCTCCGTGGGTCGGTCTGCGTGCCGTCACTCTGCGTGTAGCTGAGCATTAATGGGGTGATGGTGGAGGGTTTTAGACGGAGAGAACGCCGATATATGAGGTACACTGTGAGTGCGCCTGCGGCGATTACGAGCGACCCTACGACTGCGCCCGCGATGATTCTGGGGTTCGGCCGTGAGGAGGCTCGTACGCTCGTGTTTGGCGTGGTGGACGATTGTGATGGGGATTGTAGAGATGCCGGGAGGTTGGATGACTGTGATGCGGGAGATGTCGCAATATTTGTGCTAACCGGGGTCGTCGTAGGTGTGGTGGATGCGGATGCGGGTGAGAGGCAGGAGATATCGGCTCCAGCACTGACGATGACGGTGAATTGGGAGGGATTTGTCGGGGCCAGGAGCAGCAGCGCTACGAGATTGTAAACGCCCTCGGGGAGGTTCACGCTGGACCAAGCGTACTTCATGGCTTGCCGTGGAATAAGCCGGTCGTTGATCACTGTTGTGATATTCTCGTTTGCTAGCCCCAGCGTCAGGTCCGGCAGTAGCGGAGTTAGAAGGTCGTAGCCCCATGTTATTGTGGTGGGCGCGCAGGTTGTCATGTTGTGGGGGCCCGTGAAGAAGAAGTGGGTCGGAGCTGGGGGGCTAACATCAGTCTGTATTCTTCTGGAGCCCACGACGACACACATGTTTCCCCGGCTCTGGGCTGATAGCCATGCACACTGAGAGCGCCGACAACGAACGACGAAAGATAAAGTGTCGTTCTCGGAGCATACATATTTGAAAGAGAGTGGGATCGTCAGCGTGGAAAAATGGGAAGAGTTGTGCCTCTGTTATCTGGGAAGATCCCAGGCACGAGTACTTTATCAATCGCGGGTTCTTGGCCGAACCCATAACTAGATCTCGCACAATTGACAAATTCAAACCAGTCATCAAATGCCGGATTCTGGACCACGTAGCTCTTGGAGAACACGGGCTCGGAGCCTTAATTTCGCCATAAGCCTGGCGAGATTCAGCTGTGGTTTTTGGCCATCCATATTTTAGAGGGGAGAGGTGAGGGAGTTGAACCAAGGCGGGTAAGAAAGCCACATAAAGGTCTAATAGGACTATGCTGATCTTCTCCAAGACACGATCCGCAAAAATGGCAGATGCCATCCATCATACCAGGGACAGAACAGAATAGACGGATCCATTCTGATGGCTCAGTTACCAATGTATCCGTCGATTCGATTTACTTGGAACCTGAAGACGTACGGGACATCAGGAAAAGCCCAAAGTGCTACGAGGTGCCATAGAGACATACATAGACTCATATAGAGGACATAGGCCATATAGCACGGGTCTATAGTGTCTATATGTGCCTACTATGTGCATCTATATGTCAACCCATAGTTGGAGCCCATAGCAGTTTGGGTTTTCCCTGATGTAGCGACATACATAGACTCATATAGAGGATATAGACCATATCGCACAGGTCTATAGCGTCTATATGTGTCTATATGTGAGCCCATAGAGCCCATAGCAGTTTGGGTTTTTCCCGATGGAGCCTTCGGCGATCACTGCCGAGGTTCCTGTAATCAACCGTGACGCACCATAAATTCGAACTCAACGGGGACCTTTAAACACGCAAGTAACGGCGTACCTATTGGACTTGGTCGGCATCCACGCTGAACGGAAGAGAAAAATTGTATGTCACCGCGGCGGCTGAACGAGATGTTTTCATCTGTTTGGCCCGATTGGTCCGAGTGACGTAGCTCCTTCCTTGATGGCGAGCTCTGGCCAAGACTCGAAGACGCAGGCTCTCGCTACTCCCCATACTCATCAGCTGTCGGAAAATATAGCCGCAGGCCTTCTGGAAACATACGAGGTGTATTGGCGCGACCACTACTCTTGGCTGCAAGACTGCGGTTATTTGCTACGTCCTCGGTACTCGCCTGACTGGTCTCCGCCTTGGCTCGGAAATACAACAAAGACGCCGGCGGATTTTGAAGAAGGTGTCAAGCTAATCGTACGAGCGCCCGCCGCCCCTCACTCCCCGTGTTCCTTCTAATGCAACTCCAGACATCGACTGCCATCGATGCGGCTAGGATTTCGGACGGCTCTTATGTTATCCTCAAGCGTTGCGACCCATCGGACATTTCGCTTTTCCCAGGTGTAGTCCCCGAGGTCCACATGTTCGAGAAACTTGCCTCCGAGCCGCTGGTGTCCGATCCGAAGAACCATTGTGTCTCCCCTATCGAAATTATTCATGTGCCAAAACAGGACTCTGAGGAGGTGCTTATTGTGCTACCGCTTCTATACGAATGGGTCAGATTCCCCTTCTCAACGATTGGCGAGGCAGTGTCATTCTTTTCACAAACCTTCGAGGTGAGTACACGCCGTCTTCACCGCAGAATCGGGTCAATCAACACGGGCTCGCAGGGTTTGCAGTTTCTGCACAACAACAACATATGGCATGGGTGCGTGAATCTCCAAGTCTTTTTATCTCTCTGCTCAGTTCCTCTAGCGATTGCAAGTACAACAATCTCTTGATGGACGCGTCTCCTATTTTCAGAGACGATCCACATCCATGGCGTCCTGAGAGAATTCAGGACTTTAGCCGCGCGCCTCGTCCAGCCCGCAGTCATACACTGCACCCGGTGAAATATTAATGGATCGACTTCGACCTTTCTGGAGTCCATGATCCTTCGGCGGGTCCTCCCCTTGTAGACCTCGGTTATGGCGGCACTTATGGTGTGCCCGAGTGGGGATTTCTAGAACAGCGGTGCAATCCATTTCCGGTGGATGTCTGGTGTCTGGGGAACATGATTCACGGTCACTTTACCGAGGTACGGTGCACAGTCAGGCTGCAGAGGACGCCACCATATCTCCTGGCAGGGATATGCCTTGCTGGGCAAACAAAAGAACAAGAGGCCGTCGGTGAAACAGGCCATTCGGTCGACGAAGCATTGGGCTACCCAGTTGTACTTCATGGTGAAGCGTATACCAGCCATACCTACTCCGTAGAGTTCAAATGGACCCATCGGCTCAATAAATAAATACAGTTCTGAGGATCAATAGACGCCTGTGCTCTGCGCTCGGCGGTGTCCCGAACTTCCAAAGCTCAGCCTCCGAAACTCCCATCGTGATGCTGCCTTGCTTGCCCGAAGAGCCGTGTTTTCCTCAACCTCGAATAAATAGGCTACCTCTCGGATGCAGGGCGTACATGTGAAGCGAGGGAGAAGCGGATTCGGATGGCAAATAAAAATGCAGCTTTCTTGGCAACGGCCTGGCCTTGATTCAAACAAGGGACTCCTGCCTCAGATATCCTTCAGTTTAGAGAGAGCAAGTGTGTTACCACTACACCACCCGGCCATTCCAACACCCTCCCACGAGGTGAATACATACCATTTCTGCCGCGGTGCACCGGGCATTATTATCATTCATTCCAAATAATGTTCATTTAGTGTGTGGAGGACGCTGTCAGCGCGTTCATTCTGCGTCCATTCATACCCAAGCTCACATCCCTACGAAGAACAGCCGCCGTGGACCATGGCGGTCGCCCTCATTCATTCAATCTCTAGTTCTGTATTTAAGAGGGAAGGGAGGTTCGATTCCTCCCGGTCGACCCTGTTGAGCATGGGCGTCCCGCATTCTCAGTCTGCTGCGGAGGCAGCTACACTGACTGTGCATCCGTTTCTACTTCAACAGAGTCGGAATCGGCCTGTGTCGATCTTGGATGATATGCCAGAGTCGCCGCCGCCCGGGTATTCATCCCATGCGTCCCCAATACCTTAACTGCGGTGTAATTTGTATGTAGTTTGCTCACATGGAGGGGGGGGGAGGATTTTAATTATTTCCTATGTCGAGTACTGGACTCAGTGACTTGGACGTGGAACCAAGATCAAGATAAATAATATGTCACATATAGAAGAGGTTAGTATATTTTTCCAGATATACACCAAAGTTGTGCTAATTCAGCTGGTCTCACATGCAGTATGCTTGGTCCCGACCAGCTTAATTCTTTGAACCTTTATGCCTTAACGGTATCATCCACGAACATTCGTTCAAAGGGTATATAAAAATAAACTGTGTATGAATCTGGAAGAATGGCTCAAAGATGGCGGCCGGAAGCGTCACTGTAGACAAAACAAGGTGTACCAGGGGTGGCGAGACAACTCGCTCCCGCCTGAACCACCTGCCTCGTAGGTGGAATCTGGGTCGCCGTCTCTGCGTTGTGGGCTCTGTATAGACTTAATCAGGTTGACCCAGAAAAGGAAGACACATAACATGCCCATCGCCCGCCGGATTCCGTCTCGTGTGCAGGATCTAGATCGTTATCTCTGATGCGCTGCGGTCTCTGTTACAGTCAATAGTCTAATCAGAGTCAGGCGGAAAAAGAAGAGCGTATAACGTGCCAATCGCCCATCATATTCCTCTGCGAGACGCTGGAGGTTGTCGTACATCTTGAGTGCCTCGATGAGCTCGTCATTGGCGGAGAACATGTTGGCGAGCAACTCCTCCTCACGCATCAACTCCTCAGCGGACAGATCTGGCTCGCCACTATCGCTATCGGGGTTGCCTGATTTAATTCCATGAGTTGTCTTGAGCTGCCCCCTCTCCTCCCCACTCTCTTGCTGATCCAGGTGCAGGTGTCGTGCAATTTCCATGGAAATGCACTTCTGAAACCTGATACACAGTTCGCGGAACTCCTGCAACGTGTTTTTAAGTACAATATTGCGCGTAGTTGAATGCTGCACGGGGTCGGACGAACCTGAATGACTTGATTCCCAAGATCTTCGGGCGGCCTCATCGCAAGGGCTTGTATAAGTATTGTCGCATGCCCTATGCCAATCTCACATGCCCTGAAGAGCCGCTGAATGTCCTCACCGGGCGCCCAGTCCCCCGCATCATCAGGAAAAGGAAGCAACTGGTGTGCGGTTGGGGGTTGTATCTGAGATAGATATGCCATATTCTGGACGACGGTTTTGGTCGCAGGCCGATTTGCAGAGCTTTGCGACCAGCACCAAATGACTTGCTCCCAGAGCTTGTCCGACATTACGGGTGTTCCTGAGGGCCGCTCGGCTCGTTCCCCGTCGATGATTTTCAACAACGCCGCGGCTTCGGATAATTCGGAGAATGGTGGTCGGCCTGTGTACAACTGGACCGTGTTAGCAGTCACATAGACGAGGGACATGATATCTTGCCTCCACACATACACACCCAAAGGCATATACATCCGTGGCCGGAGTCCGAGCAAATCTCTGCCCAAAGCGGTCGGGGTCAATTAATTCCGGGGCCATCCAGTACAGACTGCCTGCTCGGGTTGAAGTGAGCATCGAGGAGGTGGCATTGGAGAGGACACTGAGCCCAAAATCAGTCAAGCAAGCGCTCTGGTCTTCGGTAATGAGAATGTTCGCCTGCAATAAACAACAATCAATGCGTAGAAATATAAATCTGAAGAAAATACCCCTCGCAGGTCGCCATGGACTATATTGGTGGAATGGAGATACTGAAGACCCTGGGCGATTTCATAGAGCTGCAATACCGCGTGATTCGATGGCCTGAACGAACAAAGAAAACTCACCAGTTTGCCCACATTTGTTCGGCCGTGAGATGCGAGGTACTTCAAAATGGTGCCGTTCTCCATCCAGGGAGAAACCATGCAAAACGCCGATGGGAAACTCTCCCGATCAATCCCTATGAAACTGAGGATGTGTGGGTGGTCTAAATACTTCCAGACAAGAGCTTCCCGGCAGAATTTCTGCCTGCATCAGAAAGCATATGGGGCTGACGATCGAAAAACTCACCAAGCGGATGCGACGCAGGCCCGAGCCCCGAAGAAAGTGTCGCATGCGCTTCAAAGCCACGGGCTTGTTGCCGTACAAGGCACGGTAGACATCTCCGTAACCGCCTCCATAGGTGGGGTGCTCTTCCCGCCCGCTGACACCGGTAATAAACAGTGCGGAAGGGAGCATGTCTGACGATTCGGAAAGCTTGTGGATTATTCGGCGAGCCTCGCAACAGTGCTCCTGGGAGACAAAAAGTCCCCGGTCTAGAGTCTGAGATAGAGCATTAGTAAAGGGATGCAGAAATTGCGGAGACTCCAACATTCTGGATAGCGTCAAGGAAAGCCTGTGCAAAATTTCCCTCGAGGCGTATCACAGCATCCTCCGCAGGTTTGGAATGAAAGATAGACACAAGCAGCATGGAGATCTCTTCCTCATCTGCGTATAAAGCAGCCTGGAGGTGCAGATCGTCTGCCAGGCCAAGTTCAGAGGCCAGCTAAACACGGTTGAGCAGCGCCACAATAACCAAGATCGTCCCCACCTCCAACAATATTTTCCGATTTTCCAGACTTCCAACAATGCCAGTGATGAGGTCGTCTGATCTCATTGAATGCAGATAACCATCCAGGGCCGTGTAAAGCCTGGCGAATCCACTTAGTAAAGACAATGAGGTACCCAATGAGGTACCGAGGACCCATACCCCGTAATGCGTGCACTAGGAGCCTCTTTGAGGAACAAAATCAAATTCTATACACGAAGTGAGGGTCCTTTCAGCGGGCAGCAACGATATGACTTGCCTGATATAACAATATATCGGTGGGAAGGGTCTGAGCTTCTGGATCTCGCAGGGATGCGGGGGACGAGCCAGGCGCAGCCAGACACCGTGGAGACATATTCCTCGGGTAAGATGAAGGTTCTCTAGTCGCCAGACATTCCACGAGCAGGATAGAGAGAAAGAGATGGCAGTCCAGATGCCTTGCTGCCTGGTTATTGTACTACCGGAGCAAGCACTTCCGGAAACCCGGCATGCTGGTTGTCTTATCTTGCGCAGTACGTGAGTATAAAAATAAGAAGCGCCGACGCTTGTGAAACAAGAGTTACATGTGTTGAATTGACGGCCAGTGGTGTAACGGTGCCACTGTAACCTAGACACGATTAATTCGAGTGCGGGAGCATGAAGCTGTGGGAGTCGTTCCTTTCTTTTGATAACCTTTCCTTCCCAAGATTTTACAGCTGTTCCGGAAAAGCTTGACACTGTGAGATAGTTTTTGGCGAATGCGCAACTTTGATGCGGGGCTAAGGATTACCCGTTTTGGATCATCCGGTCGGCAAATCGCCCCAATGAGTCGCAAGCGGCGAGTCCCCATCCCCAATTTTCATCGAGAAGAGTGAGGAGATTGTGCGTCTGGTCAGTGTTGAGGATCCGTGGGCAGCCGCGAAGAGGATTCGGAGGAGGTATCACACTGCCGTGGTTTTCCTGATTGGCCTTCCACTGGAATAAGCTTGACCGAGATGCCCGGGAACCCCACTGCGGGCGGTTTTTTTTTGGGTGGCTGCACCTTCCGTTTCTTCACGGACAAAGTCGAGCAAAATCAGCTGGGCACTGCAGGCACTTGGGTCCAAAAAAAATCTCGCGCTGCGCGCGATTTACCTTACGCCGGACCTGCTGACCGCCGGTCGGGTTGATTTACCTTTCACCGCGGACCCAAAACACTAAATTTTCGGGGCTTGATTACCATTACCTTATCCCGGACCGACCGGCCTAATCTGTGATAAGCACCAAATCGGGACGGGTCTGGACCGGCCCATCCAAAACCGGTAATCCTTAGCTTTGCATCAAAAGTTGCGCATTCGCCAAAAATTATCTCAGTGTCAAGCTTTTCCAGAACAGCTGTAACTAGTACCGTGGTTGAAAATCGGAGCCAGTAGCGCATCAGACGGAAGCCATCGATCCATCAGCACTACCCCAAACCCGGCGGACAGCGATTTTAGGATACATGGTCTCCAGCGACCGGGCAAAACCCGCGGATGCGGTCAAGACTTTCCTCATCTTGCTCCGAGATCTTTGCCGTTTCAATTGGAAGTTGGCGCCGAGAAACAAGCTGCTGTTACTGATATTTGTGGCAACTGGTGGCAACAAACTGAGGGCAAGGCTCAAAGTAAGACGATAAGCACATGCAAGCCATGTGGCATATCATGTGGAGCGGATGTCGCCCATTCGGATAGAATTATCCTGAGCGAGAGAACGGAACCAGTTGTTGTCCCAAGTTGTTGACGGATTCCCGTAGGGTGCTGTTTTAAATTCCTAGGGGATTAAAAACAGGGTTATAAACATCGTTTGTAAACATGGCTGTTTATAAACGTGTTTATAAACCAGCACCCAAAATCTGCTGAAAATGTCAATCCTACGCCTTGAGCACCCACTTCTTAGGCCTGTATCTGTATTCAAGATCCTGAATCAACCAAATGACTCCAGTTCTTATCCAGACATTGACACCGTGACACCGTCGAAAATTGGCCGATTAGGTCGGGAATATAGCTGGTCAAAATGCGCAAGAATGGCCAAGAGGTATGATGTAACGGAGG